TATATATATATATATATATATCAGGAATATGAAAAACAAATCTAGAAACAATTATAAAACACAGAGCAATTGTGAAGGAGTGAGCGAATGTTGGTATTTGTTCCAGTGTAATTAAATCAAGTAATTAATACTGTAGGCTGGCGGGCGGGCGTGTTATTCTGTTTGCGATTGTAAACTTAACACTGTTGTATGGAAAGTGTGAGTGCCTTTAAAATACATTTATTAAAAGCATTTTTGCATATGTATTAAATTTATACGATAAATCTTTTTCACTATTTAATTGAGAAGATATTGAGGCATTTCTTTGTATTTTAAAAAGAACAAATTATGTAACATATACATCATAATAACACGAGCGTTCAACAATAAATCTGTTACGTAATCTCTTAAATTGAAAATAATACAATATTAGTCCATTATGTAATTTGAAACAACTTTTTCAAATAATAATTAGTGTAAAAGTGAAAAAATAATTAGAATCGGGCGGTGACGTGAGGTGATACTGGGCTCAATCGCTATTTGTTCATTGCGGTGTCATGCGTAGTGATTTACATAGTTGCATCGTGTGCAATTTCAGAAATCGAGGATTCCACAATTGGAATGGACATCCAGTCAACTAACGCATGCTACATTCAACAATCATTTATTACGTGTTTGTAATAATTTAGTTTACCGGCGAGTATGCATATGTGATGAAAGCGTACCCGATTAGTTTTCTTATGTTTATTTAGAATGTAAATGGCGTATAATGTGTAGCCTATTCTTGTGCTGAGTGACGTTTATTGAATTAAGTAAGGTTTAACCTTTGAAACTTATTTTTTATGTGTCTGAATAAAATATTCATAGCTGGTACATTAAAACTATTTTTTGTAATATTTCCCATAGAAGAGAAATACTTACAGCATGTGCAAGGGTTCTCCTTCAGTCCACTGCAGACGTGGAACTTCCAGTAAACCAGTCCGGACCACTCGTCTGCAGAACAGAAAACATTGTAATCAATAGATGGCATAGCCGCGAGTGCTTAGGCTTAATGTCATTCTCCAAAACGTGTAGCCATTGCAGTAAAAGGATGTTAACGTGTCGATGATTTTGTTCCAAAGATGTCGGTTTGACACTTGACCTCTCTTATATAATATGAATTAAAGACATTTGTGAACAAATCTATAAGTATTTGCAACAAGTATATTTTGTCATATCCATGATTTCAGAGTTTGGATTCTCATTCAAAGCCACACATTAATGGCCGAGGAAGCTCGAAAAACAACTGAAACAGAAACTACGCTGAAAACGTAGGAAATATTAACATCCGTCTTCAGGATAAATGCTTCGCAACCTGGTAACTGAGACCGTAAATATGTAGATAAACAGACGTGGTTTAAAAATTACTATGTGAATACGATCATCGCGGAACGTATCAGAACAAATTCATCAATTTAGCCGAATCCGAATCGAACAAGAATCCGAATCGAACAAGTACGATGCGCAGTTTCCTATTTACACAGTAGGTCTTCTGCTACATGCGACTGGACAGTACCTGAATAGACTCACTGTTATCGTGACGATCAATTCCATTAGAACAATTTTTTCCACTAGGAAGTATTTTCTGGAAGGAATTACAGCGGTAGGGGAGTGGATCAAATAAACATTAATTACAGGCGAAACTGTTAATTGTGAGTTATGGTTAGGCGGAACAACAGGCCCTCTGGGTCTGAGCCTCGCCATTAATAAAGGCATTATTATTATTATTATTATTATTATTATTATTATTATTATTATTGTTGTTGTTGTTGTTTTGTTGTTGTTAAGAAAATTGTTTCAGAGATGGGTGTTCGTTTAAAAATTTGTATATCTGGTATTGAATACAATAAGGTTTGTTTTTTAAGATCATTGTCACGCAATTATTCCATTCGATAAATTAATACTGTTAGAACCGAAAACAGATATACCATTGCTAATGTGCAACTCTAAAACATGTGACGAGATTGCGCTGAGTCCCAAATACTTTCTCTCAGCACACGTACAGGCCACACGTGCAATGCAATTATTAATCGTTAGCCTTGAAGTTTTACGGCGGCAACAAACGGATCGTAGTTCCGCAGCCAGATCAACCTCGCCGCAGTTTCTATCGTGTCTTCCCAATATTATAAATGATTATGACGATGATGAAAAAAGATTATGATTAAAAAATTTTATGCAGTAAATTATTAGCATTAAGATCGAGTTGAAAGTAGAAAAAGGAACCGAGAAAATGCAAGAACCCCCGAGGGAAAATAAGGGAACTGATAAATAACTTCCAGAGATACATGTATAGTTAAATAACATTTGTATACACTTTAATTGTAGATTATTATTCACAAAATATTTCCATTGTTATTTCAAACTTTGGTTGGTTTCTAACTCACCGCCCGTTAAAGAAGAGTACGAGATGAAAACTGAGGAGTGTTTTCTCCCTTAGCAAGAAGCTTAATGATAAATTAATTAGCGATGAGCAGTACATAATTGTTTAATCGAATATTAAAAGCAGAGAGCGAAATATGTTGCCCTGGTCCTTCACTAAGAGTTTACATTGATCGCTTATTCTTTAAAAAGCTGTCTTACAGTGTCCTGAAGTTGCGTGAAACCCCTTCCAATAGGCTGTCAGGCAGCGAAGACAACAGCGGAGCCTCGGTGATGTCACTGAAACGAAAGTCAAAATGAGTCATCTTCACCAATGGTGAAACTGAGAGGATTTCAAGGAAATTTAGTCTGATTACCAAATTGAGCACACCAAAAATAGGTAAAAATATCCTTTTCCATGGACAGAAATTACATAATTATTAAACTGAATATAATATGAATACTGAGCCTCAAAATATATTGTAACGTTTCTCCGTGGTGAATTAAAACCAACACAATATTTAAACAATTACGTTTATGTGGGGAAGAATTTATACACTAAAATCATTGGTTATTTACCAAATATATTACACATTAATTATTTTTCTTTGAACGATTCGTTCTCATTTAAGATGGCTTTTTAACAGTTACGTTCTTTAACATCTATTTATATTACCACTCCCGTTTTTCTTCTACAGTTCACCAGTCCGCTGCACTGTCCAGGTACTGCGACTTGACGCAATTCTCTGCAACGAACACAATTCCCCTGTGCGCAGACACAACTTTGCGCAGAACCAACTTCATGCGCAACAAGGTCCTGCATGCTGTTTAAGCTTTATCGGGACTGCCCGTTCAAGCTAGTCCACTGCAGACTTCAAACTGCTGACTGGTGTTCCATGCACCACTGCTTACCGGATGCACTTACAGTCAGATTCAGCTGAGACTTAGACTGCTGCTGCTGTTAACACTGCACCATCTTCAAGATGCAGAACATTTACAAGCAAGTTCACTTAGGAAACTGACGGACTGATGATTCTTGCTATCCACTGAGTCTACAACATGAATTTACTGGTTCCTCTAACATGATCGCGGCGCGGAGCGGTGCCATTTATACTGCGGGTTGTCTCCAGGAAGCCGGATATTTCCGCGTCCGCGGGTTCGCCGGATAGTCCGGAACGTTAGTTTCGGGGGGGGGGGGGAGGGCGCGGAAGAGATGACGCAATCCACGCGCAGCGAATTCGGCAGGTGACGCAATATTCGTAACAATATGTTATACATTCCTTTAAATAACATATTATGTTATTCTATACATCATATTCGCATATAAAGTTCAAATCAGTGTACATAAGCTACAAGAACTTATTATTGTGGATGCACGTTTATTAAAATGTGAAAATCTTTAAGATATTAAATCAATAAATATTGAATACTACTTACTCGAGAACGTGTGTGTCTTACAAAATAAAACATTGTTAAGATGATTACTTATCACCTGGTTCTTGGCACAGGGTCATATCTCAGATTTTGACAGTAATAAAATATTAGAAGTAATATGATTTTCGCAGACTTTTCTACTCGCATGATGCCAAATCATGCTATAAAAATTTACCACGAGAAAATAGTTCTATCACTGTTGCACCACTGTATTTCATACGTAAATTCTGAAATTAAAATGAACCGCTCAATGCAGAAAGGGTACATTTTAGATTTTCACAACTTTACAGGAGATTTGCAAGACATTATTATTATTATTATTATTATTATTATTATTATTATTATTATTATTATTATTATTATTTTGTAACCTTTGTGCAGATACATTTGCAGTATCTGAATGTAATATACCACCAAAACCTTTTTGCACAGTGAAAGATAAGGCTAAAGGAAAGTCATACAAATCATAACATTAAAATGGCCGAAATGTGAACTTAATCCCTTTCTGCATTGGGCGGTTCAAATGTGTCTCTACAAAATAACACAATATAAAACAACATAAAATATTTTTTATTTCTGCCAATGTTACTGCCAGTAAGCAAATATTTTATTGAAAATATGTGTTACATTCGCACAATAATTGAACTTCATTTATTAACACTAAAGATGATGGATCTTGTATTATGTAAATGCATCTTCTTTTTTATGTTCTACAAGTCCGGTAACAATTTTGTAAATTTATTTCCCAAAACAAATAACCATACAGATTTCATATGTATGTAATTTTAAACAGGAACTCAAATGGTTTTGTTTGGACGTTCCAGCAAATGCTTGTATTTCTCGGAACTTCCGTTGCACATCTGTACCACTCTTATTTTTGTAAAATTCCTGCTCAAAGAATGCACATTCCCGTAAGTCCCCATCTACGCCAGAAGTTGCCACACAAAACGCTAAGTATGACGAATCCGGGAACTACAAGCATTTGCTGTTATATCCAAAGAAAACATTTGAGTTTCTCTTTTAAAAGACCGTATCGTTTGTAGTTTTTGTGCAATAAATGTAACAAAAGTGATACCAGACTTTAATCTGTACGTTTCAAAGCAAATGTCACAGGTAGCATTCTACGTACATTTTGTAGCATTACGTACAAGTTTTTAATGTTTGTTTTCTGAAAAAAAAGTTTGCGATTTTTTTAATGAAATTTGGAAAAATGTTTGTATTTTTCCACATTGCATTTCTCGCATTTCCCCAGGTATACAGAAAAATATTTATATTTTCTTCATTCTCAGATTTCGCATTGAATTTTTATTACTATGGACGCAATTTTATTATTATTCCAACATTCGTTCAATTTATTTATTTGTCAAATCTAGATTATTGCTATCCCACAGCGAGCAGGGGAGCATTCACAGCTGATCGATGATTCCCCGACCTTCTACGATTGTCGGAGATTGTCGATCAATGGGGAACGGGCCATGAGACCCGGCTGAGAAAGAAAGAAAGATAAAAAGAAAAAGAAAGAAAAAGAAAGAAAAGGAAAGAAAAAAGAGGAAAAGAAAAAGAAAGAAAGAAAGTAAAAAAAGAAAGGAAGAAAAGAAATGAAAAAGAGGTCTGTAGTTCTTTACTTTGCTCTGCCACCCACTTGGTATTGATCAGAAAAGACCACAGACCAGTCATCAGAGCCGGCCTCCAGGATTCTCACCCAAGCAGTGTCAGCCTCGAACCAACCCGATGGGATTCGAATCTAAGACCTCCCGGTCACCGAAGCTTCAATTGAGGCCTCTCAGCCACATACGCTGTCGCAGCCTGTCTGTGACTTATTGAATCTTATAAATGATGAAGATATAGCCTCCGTCGGCTGAAGTCAATGCAATCTTCACTGTTCTGGAGACACCGCGTCCTAGTCACAGTTGAGTCGTGATACAATGACCTCCTTCAGAGCAAAAGGCTTGCGTAATCCCAGAAGAAGGTTGCAGCATTACGATCGAAACGTTGACAAGTCTGCCTACGTCGCGGCGTTTCTCTGGCAAAATTCGCTCTTTGTTGAAGCAATACTTTCCTGTAGCATGACTGTTAGTTATCGAAACCAACACCTTGCCGTAGGACAATGCCTTTCGGCTCGAACGTACTCGTGATTGGGAAGACGCGGTTCGAACTCACCAAGATACCAAAAATTAACATGAAGTGTTTAACATCGGATTGTTTGGCACTTGACCGAATCGAATTTGAAAACAGACTATCTGATCAGAGTTTTATTTGATTTCCCTGATCACTTCCACACAAATGCCAGAGCGGTACCTCAGTCCGCGGGGCACGGACCGCCCGCGATCCCTTCTTCCTCATCTGTTTGCATTCCCATCCGAAGGGAGATCCGGAAAGCAGCGAGAAGCAGTAAGTTATCCGAACCATTAACGTTTTTTGTGGTGAGAAAACAGAAATAAAGTATCAAATCTTGCAGAATATCTGCTAAAGAGTGGCGATAGTCTGTTTCCACATTTGTGGCAGGGTCGCACCGAACGGCAGACTCGCCCTCCGTGCGTGGGGGACCGCGTGCTCTGCCGTTTTGAAACGGTTTGTCGTGACGGCTCTCTTCAGTCGATAAACACGTAGAATGACAAAGTACACGCAGCAAACGCTAGCGAAGGCGACCTATGTTTACCCGATTGCCGATTGTCAACTCCTAAAATGCAAAGTTAAGTGAATTTAAATGCATGGCTTTGCTATAACAGGCTGCACAGGTTATGTATTTTCGTGTCGTGACTATGTGGGATTTACCAAATATGCACTTTTTTTGGACCCATGTTGAGTTAGCGTGGTGAATGAGGTTTTAGTTTTTGAAAAACTGTCAAAGCTCTATCGAGCTGGTTAATATTGTTTAATTTTTTGAAAGTCTCTATCTTTCATTCATATTTTAAATCAAATACGTTTAGGAAGCTTACAAAAGTAACGATCATGCTGATGAATACTAACAAGTTTTTGCATCGCGTGAAACAGGCAATCATGTACGCTAAGTGCGAACTTTGGAGCTTGTAGAAACTCTTAAAGCAAGAAAAATTTGGAAACAGGATATTCCAACTGATATCGGATTCAGCAGCGTGTACAATAAGCGTTACTCCAGTGAAAATAATTCCTACTAGTCCTACTACCTGAACAGTGCTCGAATCGCTAAAGTAGTCGCATAAGCAAACAAATGCGAAACGAATGCTTGTATTAATAGGATGTTCCGTCCTTGGAATTTAGCAAAAGCAGTACAATCTACCGTCACCATTCAACAACTTCTACATGTCACGTTGACTAGTACCATCGTTGTATGTCCGCGGTTTACCCTACGTAGGATGCAGGCCTTAATCTAAACAACGCCTAGAAGTATATTCTACCACCAATTCCTGACTGCACGGGGGCTGTTCAACACCGTCCGATCTCTAGGACGGCTGGTGCGAGGCCCCGGTTGGCCCAGACCGCGAGCCAGAGGGGACCTCTCTGCCAATCACGGCGCACTTGCGTTACCCGAGCGCCTAGGCTGAAAAAGATATAACACCGGAGGCGGAGCTTTACTGTGTCACTACCCTGAAGAAGCCTGCGATATGACAGGCAAAACGTCGGCCTCTCTGCCAACGACGCGGCGTCACCCGGACAGCCTAGAAGTAATGAACTCGAGCCGCGGGAGCCTACGTATACCCTACGAAGTTTCCGGTGTGCCAAAGGTCCCCCCTGGTGGATATGACGGGGTGAGCCGTGTCTGGGTGCGCCCTGTGGCGTGCCACGCGCGCAGACTTACAAGGTGCGCAGGTGGTGCAGGCCGCGCAGAACGTCCTCTTCCACGACGCGCAGGTCGGCCGCCTCGGACAGGAAGCTGAGGGGAAGCAAAAGGCAAGTCAGGCGCCCGCTCTGAAAAGGTGCGCTCTAGCGCAGTCACATTAGGCCGAACAACTGCGATCGAGTGAAAAAAATACGGGAGTTTTGAAACGACTTGATTGTTTGTTGGGATCTACAGCATAACACTATAAAAATCCTGCGGAGGGTGAGCCTGGGGCAGGACGGCCGTTCAAAGGTGAACTAGGGCCTTGTCGTAAACAAAAAATTTGCAAGCCTGTAACACTAAAACGGTTAATTTAAGGCCAAAGCTTATAGGAACTTTTTTGTAGGAATTTTTATCTACTATAATTTTGTTTAGAGCATATTTTTCGGTGGGATTAATAGTTATGGAGATATATGTGCAAAAAACTTAGAAAAAGCACCTTCTAACGGCAGCCCCGCCCCCGGCTGCCTTCACCGCCCCCCCCCCCACTTCAGATTTTTGTATGTTATATTGTAGGTACCAACAAACATGATTGCCAAGTTTCAAAACTCCGGGAATTTTTCTCACTCCATTTGTCTAATTTGACTGGGCTACTAGTGTTGTGTATATGAATGGCTAATTTGTCTGAGGGTGTGCGTTGTGTTTGAGATGTGATAAAAAATACGGTACATAATTTTATTACAAATAAAATAATAATCATGTATAGTATGTGAATTTATCTCCTTCGAAGTGCTGTTTTTCGCCAGCGATGCACTTATCCCAATGTTGAACCCACGACTGGAAGCATTTCTAAAAGGTTTCTTTTGGAAGGGCTTTCAGCTGCTGTGTTGTGGCTCACTTAGTGTCGGGAATGCCGTCAAATCATTTCGTTTTTAACACACTTTTTATTATTTAGAAGAGCCACAAGTAACTAAATCTAAATCTGGTGAGTGATCTGGTGAAGCGGATGTGAACAGGCAGGGACTATTTTCCGATCAAAAACGCGGGAATCAAATTGAACGTGTGGCATCCACTTTGTGGCGATGAAGAAGGCTCATTTCTCTGATCGTCTCACAAGAAAATAATTGGCTGAAATGCTTTGAACGGACCCGTACGGGATGTTAGCTCTTTAATAGTCAATCGTCCCTATGAACGAATAAGTTTTGCCACTTTTTGCAAGTTTTCATCTGTTTTGAGGTGGAACGACATCCGGACTGTTGGGAGTCTTCAATCGACACTTTTCAGTTTTTAAGTCGCTCATACTAATTGTAAATAATCTTCAGTCACTACGTTATCTTCTTACACTGATCTCAACATTTTATACGTTTCTTTGGCACTATTTAGCAACTTGAAACAAAACATATGTCAATACGGTGTTCGAAATCCATGATGCGCGACACACACGGAAACCCTACCTCACTCTAGTGGCTCTGGAAGCTGACTGACAATTCAGAACGTATTCTAACTTGGCACTGCCCATCTCAACGGATCAGGCTATTGGTCATATTAGGCCAAACGGGGCAGCAGTTGCTTCTATAAACATTCATTCATCGTATTTTTTTCACACCTGCTACGGCTGGTCTGTGTTAAAAACAATGGGCAAGGGAGTGTAATAACTAAGGTAAATTTTAATATTCCACCAAATGCGAGATAGTATCTGAAGTAGCCGGCCAAATTGCCATCACCTGCTAGGTTCAGTTATATTAGGTTCAATTAAGTAAAGTTCACTTCTTTATATTAATTGTAAGTAAATCTCTGCCCCCATCCGAGCAACTACACACGCGACCTGTAGGTGCCGTTAAATGGAATAAATGGTCGCCTCGTCAGGGCAATGAAATAAAGTACCGCGAGTTTCAAGGTTTGTAATAAAGGTACATCAAATGCGAATGGAACTTCACTTTCTTCATAGATTTTTTATAGAGTCTGATTTGAAAACTGTTTTAGTCCTACGAGCTTCCTTAGAATAATATGCGTTCGTAGGCTTCCGTGGTCGGAGTCAATACATTGAACGAGACACGGCTCATCCCGGATAGCCAAGAATGTATTGCTTGGAGTAATGTTCGGGGAGGGTCGGGCAAAACCGAAAGAAAAAACGGATTAAAAGAGAGAAATATTATACGCGCACGTTTTCTTGACCCCTGAACCTACCACCACTCCTTTACCAACACTAATTGATTTAAGAATAAACGAGAAGATCAAGCGTTGTTGATAAAATCTGATAACCAGAAATGTTCGCTCCATTGCAACAGAAACGGTTTCGCATCGAAAAAACGTGCTACAAATTTGATATATTCCTGTCGTCGATATAACCAACCCCTCCCACTCCTCCTGCATATAGTGAAATGAGGACTCAAGAAAACGTGCGCGGATAGTATCGACAAAATTGCACATTGGTTCGTTGCCACTGCTGAGTACTCACAGGTCCCTGAGGGAGTCCGCATGCAGCCTGAGCGCCTCGCCACCCAGCGTCGCCCGCTTCAGGTCAGACACAGTCCTGCGGACAAGCCCATAGGAACTATCCTTTCCCTGAAATATAAAGCGCTTCTGAAATGAAATAAAGACGATCAAAATATCATGTTAACTTGCTTTAAGATAATCAACTACTGTATCGGTCGTTCACGACTGCTGAGGACCACGCTAAGCAAGAATAAAGAAAGGAAGGACCACACAAGAACAGCTGCAGAGGAGCCCGACGCCTAGCACTGCTAGCACAAACGCCTCTAACTGCTGGGGACCGGCTTCGCTTCCTGGCCAATACGTGAGACATTTGCGGCGACAACAGTACGAGTAATTTACGGCACGATGACGGAAAATATATTACGATTGAGATGTCTCTATCTGAGGCGATGTTAGGAACCGAGGCTGGAATTTCAATCGAGTAATGTAACATTGCCGCCCGTGGGTTCAATCACGTTTTATTTCATACTATAGTTACGAATATTACATCATCTGCCGGGATTCGCTGCGTGGATTGCGTCATTTGCTGGCGCCCCCCCCCCCCAACTGGACGGTTCCGGATTATTCGCGAGTTGCGTAGAAATGTAGAGCAAGTTCCCGGTGGCACGAGGCGGGCGCCGGCCAGATATAAATTCGCTGGAAGTCCATTGGTCGTTCCGGTGCCGAATTCTTAGAGCGCAGATTATGGCGCCGACGATAGCAAGTGCGGGGAAAAGACGAGAGAATTGATGATAAGAAAATACTGAGAAATCCTCGAAATGCTTTTGAGTAGGTTTTTTTTTCTATCTTCGCTATTCAAGGACTGGAATTCGTGTTCTTTGTAGAAGGATACGCGGAACAAAACTGTTAAAATCAGAGAAATATGATATTTTCTCAAGCACTAAACCAGCATCAAATAAAAATGTTTCACTATTACATGTAATTTCAAGAAAATTATTTCTATATTGATGATATTTTTTCCAAATGTTATAATTCAAATAATATGGCATTACAGAAAGCGATTATTAGGCATTTGGCGCATATTTAATAAAATAAATTATGCTTAACCTGATAAACGAAAATCACAAAATAATAAATTAGTCTCGTATGTATTTTGTATTTTAGGGCCGAACTAATCCGGCTTTTGCCAGTCAGTAGTGATCCCAGGCCTGGGCCATGTTTTTATTTATTCTCCACGCCTGGGAATAAGGTAGACACGGGTTGAGCATGACGTATTCATACGACGCATAGCTTACGTAGTAGTCTCACGGAGTCTTTTCCTTTCGTCACACATCTATAGAAACAGACAATTTGTATTAGCAAGATGCTGATTCATTTTCACCTCGGCAGGGAATTGAACCCGAATATCGCACCACGGAAAGGTATCACAATCCATCCAATGCGACGACTATTCTTATGGAAGGCAGATAAGCTGTCGTTTGTTGGTTCATAGCGTGAGGTCACTAGGTTATTTTCCAGGTCTCTATTCTTCGATTGTGCCGGTTATTTTCCTGAATTTAGTGGTATTCGAGTAGATATACTGCTCGTTGTCTCCAGATTATGGACTACCGTTGAGAAAATAAAGAATACAAAAGCGCGAATCGCTGCTAAACACAGTATATTCTGAATATTCAAATATTTTTATTTTCAAATGTTACGAAATATTCAAACATTGCCATTACCCAAAATACGAACGCGCAAACTAACAGACAAATGATCTGAAAACGAACAAACAGTATCTTTTTTGGTTATAAATTGATATTAATGAACTGATATGAAGATGCTTAGGTGTAAAAGATCCTCAAAATTGTAGTTTTTGTAGTAGAATCATTTTATACTCCTGTCGACTTTTGGGCATGCAGATTCTAATATACTTATTGAATACATGGCTCGAAAAGGAGATAAATCTGAGGTGTCCACCCCAAATTTGCCGATTTGACGAATATTTAAAGTAGTAGTTGAATTGGAGTGTCGTGACATGTTGTGAAGTGTAGTGCAATAGAGAAGTCAAGTGCAAGTGTAGTGTAGCGAAGTGAAATGCAAGTGTAGTGAAGTGTAGTGAAGTGGAGTGAAGTGTTGTGAAGTGAAGTGAAGTGAAGTGCAGTGTATTTATTAGTTAAAAATTCCGTGCAGGGCAGTCATAAAGTGTATAGGTAATGATGTTAGTTATTATTGTTATATTATTGTTATTATTGGTTTAAAATGCTTTAAAATTACGGTGTATTACTATTCTTAGTTGTAATATGTAAATTGTAGTGTTCTGCCACCAGGTTCTATACCTACCAGCAGAAATAATATATCTATCTATCTATCTATCTATCTATCTATCCATCTATCTATCCATCTATCTATCCATCTATCCATCTTTCTATGGCTGAACCACTATTGCAACCCCCGGAGGCCGAAAGAGAGGCCGAAGGTGAGGGCATTGCTCCTACGCCGCTAGCGCCACTCACAGGCTCTGCACGTCTTTCTGCACCACGACGGAGCCCGCGCTGCTGCAGTTGCAAGTCACCTCGGCGCCCTCGACCCCGTCGACGCCTTCGCCGCCCTCGCCGCCCTCGCCGCCCTCGCCGCCCTCGCCGCCCTCGCCGCCCTCTCCGCCCTCGCCGCCCTCGCCGCCCGCGCCGCCCTCACCGCCCGCGCCGCCGCCCGCCGTCACCTCCTGGCACGTGCAAGAGCTGTAGCCCAGCGCGGGCCGCGGCGCCCGCTCGCTCGCGGGGGCGGGCGGGGGCGAGGGCGAGGGCGAGGGCGAGGGCGAGGGCGAGGGCGATGACGTGGGTGGGGGCGGTTCGTCGTCGTCTTCGGCGGCGGCGGCGGCGGCGGTGGCGCCCACCAGCGCCGCTATCATCAGCATTAGCACCCAGCCAGCAGCCATCGTCCGCACGCCAAGTCCTCTGCGCTGTAGTCGCGTGGCAGGCGCCGACGCTGGAAGAGTAGTGTACATTTGAAGAGTAAGACAATAAAAAAGGTAAGTCCACTTTCGCAAAAAATGTCCTTTTTTTGCTTTATCAAACACTGAAACATAAGATTTGCGTTACACTGTAAATGATATTTCTTTTTAAGGCAAATAAATGGTCCAAATAAATGAAATAATACATCAGTCGATTTCAAATTCTCAATTGATAGTAAAATTTAAAAAATCCGAACGTAAGCAAGAATTGTTAACTTACAAAGACTTGTTAATTTATTTTACATTATAAATACAATAAAAAACTGAATGATGTAATAACAGCACAAAACGAAAACAAGAAAAGAATTCGCCGTTCAAATATATTCCGGTTACTTCGCAAAGACGTTTATATATGAGAGAATCCAGTAAGAAAATAAACATCAAACAGTAATACGTAGTGAAGAATATAAAAATAATAAAATTCTGGGTTATTTGATAGAAAAATCTGGCACACACACTCCCGTACGATGCCACTATTTACGGCGTCGCGCCGCTCCAGCTCACGCATGTACACCCCTTTCATGATTTTAAGAGAAAATGAGTGCCGAGTCAGGGCAAGTTGCCCGTGCCCGTAGGAGCGCCGGGCTTCCCAAGCGAGCAAGTAGCTCGCGCGGGCGCTGTTTGACGTGCCTGCGCAAGACAGATGCACAGAGGCACGTTTTGCCTTCAATCGATTTTTCCATATCAAGGACCCACAAGACACACTCTGACTACAAAACGTGTTTGAGGAAGTAATTTGCTACATACAGAAACAAGATTTATCCATATTATCCATAACCAGCACCCGACAACAAGAGTTTTTCCGTCGAAAAATCGCCGATTTCCGTTGCACAATTACACTACCTCTTAACTTCGCACGTAATAAGGCGCAAAAGTAAAAAAAACCTCTCGAAAATGGCTTGAAACTCTCCAAATTGTTCTTTGAATTTTTTCACAGACAGAGGAAAGAACGCTTAAAGATAGCGCAGATTGAACTCTTTGAATTTTCGAAAATTGCATGAATTATAAATAATGCGAGAATCCACTAGTTTTTAAGTGTCGGGTAAATTGAGCGAAGCCGTGCGACTGATGGGGAGGTGGAAATGCGAGTGTCGTGTTGACTGAAAAAACTTGAGTTTGAATCTCGGTGCGGGAAAAGAAATTTGTTGGATGGAAATACTTTTGAATGTTCATGTATTACTATAATACTGCATAGCCATTACAAATAATGGGAGAATGAATGTGATGTGGTAGCACCATCAGTTTTCATTTCTCCACAACACCGGAGCGCTGCCAGATGAAGAGGGCAATCAAGTGAGAGGATGTTAAAGGCGGCAGCCGTTGTGGTTGCGTTACTCCCCAAATCTCGGGAACATTTTCCAACAGAGACTTGTTCGTGCTCTAGCTGCTGCGACTAGATGGATGTTGCGCTACCTTATCAGGGATAAATTATCGATTTTGGTAAAAATACTAACAGAGAAATTTGTAGTTCCAATACTGATGCACATAATTTTTCTATAACTCTGGAGAAAAAATGTCGAGTTTTAAAATCTTACAAAACTCGCATTTGTTAGCGGGAGAGATGTCTCAATGCATCAACTAATGTCACTGCAGTATTTCTGACCGGGAGGTCGTAGGTTCGAGTCCTGACGTTGGCAGGATTTTCCACACTAGCTTATCAGCTAGGTTGAATTCAGTTGTAGTATAGCGGCCGGCTGCTCTGATCGATTATAGTTTTCAGTTGATTCTCCAATCAATACCAGCCGAATGCCGAAGCAGTGCTCTAGCAAACGGGCCACGGACCGCGCGTTATCTTACATTTCTATTCTCTGACCTCACCTCTTACATTTTTATTCTCTGACCTCACCTCTTACACACACTTACACTAACATGCGCTACACTACCAAACATGCCGGGAGACCAATCGGGAACTTAGAGCTTGTCCAGGCTGACGCGGTGCCCCGCGAGGGAGATGGGAGATACCTGTTAGGGAAAATCCCGCTAGCCGACGGTAGGTCGGCGCTGGATCTCGCCATACACCGGAGAACCCATCGCCACCTCCCGAGAAAAACATGCACTACACTTATGAGACACATGATCCAAGCCTTTGATGTCCCCGAGATCACAAACACTCAACCGCTTTTGTTGGTACTTTCGTTTATGATTCTACGATATATATTGAAAGGTTATGAAGAGATTTTGAGGCACATGAAAACGCGGGCAGATTATCTACCACTGTTTATCTCAGGCGTCGCTGAAAAGACTGAAGAGCTGAGGATCTTGATAAAAGTAAATCTCCTATGTATGCTTTATTAAAATAGATCTTTTAGTTTTGAGGCAAACTTTACATATCATCCCGTAGGACAAAGTCAAAAATTGTCTCAAAAATTGTTCCGAATGTTTTCTCCATTTTTGCATACATGTCATTTTAATTAATTCTTCAAGAACTTTGAAAATTGCATCATTTCATATTTGTCGAGCACATTCTTTACTTGCCATACTATTTAAGCTGAACAATCTCAACGCAATCCGTTCCTTAATGTAATACGTATATCAAAATTCGATTTTTAGATAATATTTACCTAGTTATTTCAAAAAAATAGTTACATCGTGTAATTTTTCCAACTGACGGCCGATGTTAGTTGAGAAGAGCGTGCAATATTGGAGAATTGAGCAATGCCGTCTATAACCACGTGTCAAAATATCTGTCCGTCCGTCCGTCTCTCTGTCCGTCTTTCTGTCTGTCCGTCGCCCTGTCTGTCCGTCGCCCTGTCAGTCCGTCGCCCTGTCAGTCCGTCAGTCCGTCAGTCCGTCAGTCCGTCAGTCCGTCAGTCCGTCAGTCCGTCAGTCCGT